CACACGGGTAGTTCTCTAAATTAAGGTCCCTTTTTGGGTTTAGGGTTTAGGGTTTAGGGTTTAGGGTTTAGGGTTTAGGGTTATATAGTACGGTACCCCTATAAAAAGGACTGGGACCCTAATTTAGAAAACTACCCACATATTATTGACGTGGTTTAGCCCAAAGCCCTAAGAACCCCAAGTCCTGAACCCTTAACCCTGCAGCCTTGAACCCAGAATTTCAAGTTTCCCAGGTCGGGCTTGGAACCTCATGGAACCCATTGCATGACATTGAGGGTCCATGTACCTCTGTGGCATGGTCTTTGGCTTACAACGGGGCTCCTGTACAGGTACTTCAAGGCCGATGTATATGCCAATCACAACTTCTGCGCTAGCCATAGATGCTGCAATGCACAGTTTCAGTCAGTCCATGTCGAAAGTATTCCTTCTGCGTACCTCTAGCCTAAACCTCATAAACCCCATATCCAAAAACGAAACCCCCTACCCTGAACCCTTAACCCACAAGCCCAAACCCTCCACGAGCCCTAGCAGCATCGGGCACCTCTTTGCCGATGGCTCGGCCTCGCCACTCTCAGCCTGCGCCGCACGCTTCTGCATGAGCAGGCGCACGGCTGCCGGGAGATGAGCCATTGCCCTGAGATGTCGGTTTAGGGTTTAGGGCTTAGGGTTTTCCGTGTCCGTGTGTCCGTCTGTCTGTCTGTCCGTGGGTGGGAGAGAGGGAGGGTGAGAGAGAGAGAGGGGGAGACAGGGAGAGACACAGAGAGAGTGCAGCAGGCAGAAACAAAGACAGAGACAGAAAAAAGAACGAAACACGGACACAAAGAGAAGAAGAGAGTGAGAGCGAGAGAGAGGAAGACGCAGAAGAGCGGGGGAGGGAGGGAGACAAACAGAGAGAGAGAGAGAGAGAGAGAGCGAGAGAGAGAGAGAGAGAGAGAGTGTGTGTGTGTGTATGTGCGTGTATGCATGCATGTATGCATGCTGCCGTATGCATGTATCTAGGACCCTAGGACCAGGAGCAGCCATTAGGCTCCATGCTAGATGGAAGAACGATGTCTGTACCCTAAACCGAGAGTCTTCGAACCCATAGACCAAAGCCCTCCTCATGTCAGATCCCTGACACAGGGGCCTCACAATGAGAGCAGGGTTTAGGGGGCTGTATTTTGGTATGAGTATAACAAGGAGCCGCCAGGAATAGTATTGGCAACTATTCAGGCTTCTATATTAATATGGGTAGTTGTCAAAATTATGGTCCCTTTTGGGGTACCCTAAATAATAGGTGCCGTATTAAAATAAGGACCCAAAAAGGGACCCTAATTTTGACAACCACCCATATGAAACCTTGCACCCTGAAGCCACAAGGCCTGCGCCTAAAACCTCACAGCCCAAAAGCGTCAAGCATCAAACTGAAACTCTGAACATGAAGCCCTGCTCACCTCTAGACCCGAAGAAACCCTGAAACCACAAGAAGCAGCCCTGAAGATCATGCACCGAGGATCCTGAACCACCTTCAACCGGAACCTCTCAACCCAAAGCCCTGAACCCTAAACTCCTTCAAAGCCAACATATCTTAGGACCTTAATAATTAGACCAGGGTTTTTGGGGCCCATGATACTATAATCATAACAAGAACCCCCCAACATAGTATGATTAATCATTAAGGCCACTATATTATATACCTAGATCGCGCGAGCCCCAAAGCCCTGAAACTTCTCCTTCTGCCCAGCTGCACAGCTATCAGGGTTGGGGCAAAGGTGGAGGGTGGGGCACCGAGGTAAAACCCTCGCTTCTGGGAGTTTTCGAGGAGTTTGGGCTTCCTGGCTTGCTGGGTTTCGGCTTTGGGGTTTCGGTGTTGCGGGTGTAGGGGGCTTCGAAATTTCTCTATAGGAATTGTTGGGAGTCGGGGCCCGGCTGGCCGGTGCTAGGATTCTATGTCAAAGCTAGGGGCTTCGGCCTTCGAGGCTAGGGCTCCGGGGGCTTGCGGCAGCTTGCATCGACCGTGTGATCAAAGCTGGGTTGAGGGTTTGGAGCTTCCGGGCCTAAAGCTAGGGCTTAGGGTTTAGGGTTTAGGGCTTTAGGGTTTTAGGGTTTAGGGTTTTAGGGTTTAGGGTTTATCGTTTAGGATGTTGACGCTGCTTCGGCGGTAAGGTGCCCACTCGGGTTCAGGTTGAGGGCTAGCTGTCATCAGCTTGCTGTCTATTGCTGAGTGACCATCCTAAGTGCTCCTGCATACAAGGCCCAACAAAACCGGTTCCGACATGATGATCGAGCAGCTGTAAGCCGAAAAAGGTGGAGAGTGCCAGCAAGCAACAAGTAAGAATCTCGTCGCCCACACTAAAACTGACTTCTGCGACTTCTCTAGAAGTGACAACACCACACTAATCAAAACCGTGACCAAGGGAAGTCATATGGGTGGTTGTCAAAATGATGGTCCCTTTTGGGGTACCCTAAATAATAGGTGCCGTATTATAATAAGGACCCAAAAAGGGACCATAATCTTGACAACCACCCATATGTTTAACAATAACCATCGACGACATCGCTGTCGGAGCAGTCTTCAGCGGGCTTGGCAGCAGAGCACCCTGTAACTACGAACGCCGCCAGCCCCAAAGCTATACTGGAAACGAGCGTAGCCTAAAGAAATTAGAGAACCCCATGAAGCCCTATATGCACTACAGAACCGCTACAAAACCCGTCACGGAACTGTAGTGTCAACGGGGAAGGCTCAAAGTTATTTTGTTCGGCTCGTAATCGGAGATCGATTCTGCTCCACAGCTGCAGAGAGTCGTTGAGGCTTATTTGGGTTTTGATCTTCGCTCGGGGTCTAGGCTTGAAACCGATTGAGGTCTGCACTAAGGTATTGAAGCAAGTTGTGACTGTGGGCGTTGCATAGATGAGGTGTGGTGCTCAGGCATCAGGGCTTTTGGGTTCATCTGTAGCCGCCAAGCACTGAATACTGAACCCTAACCCTAAGGGTCCATGTACCCAAATAGTATATACATTGGCCCCTAAGTATCTATATAGGGACTACATTAAGCCCAAAGTATGTACTCTTTGGGTACATGGACCCTTAGGGTAAATACCCCTAAACCCTAAATCCCTCGCGGCACCGTGACGATCGCCCATGCATCGGATGGCGTGTCCAACCTGTCGAGCTCTGAGTTTAGGGTTTAGGGTTTAGGGTTTAGGGCTTCGCGAAGTTTAGAATTTCAACTCGCTTGCCACATCCATCAAACAAAAATCCTGGCCTTTCTGTGTGGCCTATCTCAGCCGCGAGAAATATCTCAACCGAATACCGTGTGACAGTGCGTAAGTTCTATCAACTCCTATGTTGGTGAACATACACATAGAATTACTTCTTAGTACAATCAATTATTGTACTTAGGGCTCCGTAGTATAAACATACTATGATATGCCCCCTAGGTGCCCCCAAAGCCCTTTTCCAAGTACTAAACCCCTGTACTATGACCAAGTTTGTATTGCTGACCACGAAGACGCAGGGGTCTTCATTCGGCCCCTAACTTAACACGGTATCTGCAGCAGGTGTAGCACAAACGTATGACAGGTCTGTGTACCTCTGTATATGTATGTTGGTACATATATGTATAAAGACATGGGATAGGTAGGTGACAGACAGATAGATAACAAAAGGGCGAGCGAGGGAGAGGGAAGGAGGGAGGGAGGGAGAGAGAGAGAGAGAGAGACGGAGCGAGAGAGAGGGATAGCGAGAGAGCGAGAAACAGGGAGAGAGTCTGTGAGGCAGAGACAGAGCGAGAGAGAGAGAGAGAGACAGAGAGAGCTAGAGGAGAGACGGAGAGAGAGAGAGAGAGATGGAGAGAGAGAGAGAGCGAGAGGATTGATTTGACATGTGAGTTCTGGGGTCAGAATGCTGGCACGACGTTTACACTGTTGCCATGTGCTGCCCACATGCTCTAGACTGATTCAGGAGTCCTGCGCCCACAGTGGCAGTGTCTCTCAACCCTATACATTCACGACCAAGAACTCCGTCATTTTCGCGCGGGTGTTCCTGCGAGCAGTGTGTTGAAAACAGGTGGGGTCCATGTAAATTTTCGACATTCCCAAAGGCTTATATCCGTTTGCGAACAACACACCATCAAAAGCGAATAAACCACGATATCCTAATCGTGGATCCCTATTTATTCTCCAGCTGGCCATACAAAAAAAACGCTGCAAACAAAGTAGGGTTTGGCTCCCGTAACTCAAGGCAGGTCTCGCGCTCCTCTCGTTGCTGAGTGATCGGCGACCAAGACACGTCGAAGCCCTTGCCGCTAAGGGCTGCCACTGCCTCGCGCAGTCAAGGACTAGA